AAACGCCAACATGTCCTTCACCGTAGCCATGAAAAATATTCCTCATAAAAAGAAATCTGTGATTGATGACAATGAAAAGTTCAGCTGCGACGGGAAGACATTGCCAGCGATGAGAAGGGAGGATGAATGGAAGTATCTCGGCGTACCCTTCACACCAGAGGGTCGCACGATTGTTCAACCAGAAGCCCAGCTCCAGCTGGCTATTAATAAGCTCACAACAGCTCCGCTTAAGCCGCAGCAAAGACTCTTCGCGATGAGGGTAATGGTGCTACCCAGCCTCTACCACCTGCTTATGTTAGGTAACACTACCTTAAGCAGGCTTAAAAAGAGCGACAATATGGTTAGAGTAGTGCGCAAATGGATGAGGCTGCCACGCGATTTAGTTAATGCCTACTTCCACGCCAAGGCCAAGGATGGTGGCTTCTCAATACCATCGATGAGATGGTTCATGCCTCTTAAAAAGCGCGAAAGACTTGAGAAACTGAGAATAGAAGGCGAAGAACAGACCTTTATCTCACAGGAAATTGGTCGCGCAAAGAGGCGACTCCTTTTTTTTGTAAAAAAGGAATTCATGGAATTTGTGCAGCAAATCATTTTTGTAATAAGTGAAAATAAAAAATATTTTTTTTGATCAAAATTACTTGTTAAATAACAATTAGTGTTAATTATAACCATTTTCATTGTTTCCCAAAAAAAATACTACGCATTTTATCCCGGACTTTTAGCATATGCATAAGAAAATACTCCCGCACTCAAACGGTTAATAACATAAAGCCGCAACCGGTCACAAAGAGCTGGCGACATGCCCGTTTGTTTTCCTGCACCGTGACGCAGTGCGGAGAGCCCGTTGCAATTTCCATACGACGGCCCGTACCGCGTCCTGGAAAGGCGCGAGAAAACACTCGTATTAGATATCGACGGGAATCGGGTAAGGGTAAACGTGACCGCGTGAAACTCGCATTTACCGTTCCTTATGATCACGACGAGCAATCGCTCAAAAATATAAATAAACCTATCCCCGACAACGCCAACGACCACTTAGGTCGAACCCCCGAGACTCGGCCGCGCGAAATAAGCGAACGAGAACTGCCTGGGGTTCGCTAGGGCACGCCCGGAGCCGATGCTAGACGTGACAGCGAGCAAACCATCGGTGGCAATTGTCTGAACAGGCAACTCGAAATTAATACAGCCGAAATCATAATAGGAAGCACACAAACACAAACATACACAAACCGGACCATGGATGCTTTGGAGGAAAACCCTGCAACCACCAAGGCCGGAAAACCCAGGCAACGCATAAAGTGGACAGACGCGATGAACAGAGTAGTCATGCGTTCCTACTACACCGCAAGCAAACTGGAAACAATAGATTCAGGATACAGACCAGAATTACTGACACTTTTTACAACACGATAACCACATTTGCATTCAAGCATCACAGAACAAAGGCTTATGGACCAAAAACGAACCATCATACGGAACAGAAACCAACGGAAGCTACAACGGTCTTAATACCGAAGAAAGATGCAGCCACTGAACCCGGGGATTTTAGACCTATTACGGTCTCCTCAGTATTAGCGAGGGTTTTCCATAAGATCCTAGCCATACGTTTGCTACATAAAGTCGAACTTGATAAAAGGCAAATGGCCGTCGTGCCCGCCGATGGATGCGTGGAAAACATATTCCGTCTCGATATGATACTAAGGTATCACAGGAGGGAGTTTAAGCCATATCTGGCTTCAACTGATATAGCAAAGGCGTTCAATTCGGTGTCACGCCAGTCGATACACGATACATTGGTAACCAAAGGTGTCCCTGGTCCAATGGTGAACTACATATCAGATAGCTACAAATGTAGTACAACCAGATTGGTGTGCCACGGATGGGAATCGCAGCCAATTCATCCCACATGTGGAGTAAAACAAGGCGACCCACTATCACCAATTATCTTTAATATGATAATGGACAGGTTACTCCGCCAAATGCCTGATGACATTGGGGAACATAGGCAGAAACCACTACAATGCCATGTTGTTTGCGGATGACATGGTGTTGGTAGCAAAAACACCACAAGGTCTCCAATCGCTGCTAAACCTCACTGTACATTTCTTGGCGCGGTGCGGACTTTTCATAAACATCAACATGTCCTCCACCGTAGCCATGAAAAATATTCCCCATAAAAAGAAATCTGTGATTGATGACAATGAAAAGTTCAGCTGTGACGGGAAGACATTGCCAGCGATGAGAAGGGAGGATGAATGGAAGTATCTCGGCGTACCCTTCACACCAGAGGGTCGCACGATTGTTCAACCAGAAGCCCAGCTCCAGCTGGCTATTAATAAGCTCACAACAGCTCCGCTTAAGCCGCAGCAAAGACTCTTCGCGATGAGGGTAATGGTGCTACCCAGCCTCTACCACCTGCTTATGTTAGGTAACACTACCTTAAGCAGGCTTAAAAAGAGCGACAATATGGTTAGAGTAGTGCGCAAATGGATGAGGCTGCCACGCGATTTAGTTAATGCCTACTTCCACGCCAAGGCCAAGGATGGTGGCTTCTCAATACCATCGATGAGATGGTTCATGCCTCTTAAAAAGCGCGAAAGACTTGAGAAACTGAGAATAGAAGGCGAAGAACAGACCTTTATCTCACAGGAAATTGGTCGCGCAAAGAGGCGACTCCCGGAAGACCGGAAGAGGAATGCAAGAGTAGCGGGCCCACAAAAGCTGGTACGATGCACTGACAGTTGAGAATATCGATGAGACCGTGATGTCAGAGGAGAGGAATGTGTCCCCTCCTGTCGAGCCGGCCCGCCAAGGGATGGACGACTTATAGGGGTCCCAGTCAAGGCTGAAGTCAAAACTGCCTTACCGGAGCTTTCGACTTGTCCAGGCCCAAACGGTCTCATCTCTCGGCAGCTTAGAGCAGTCCCAATTCTCACCCTGGTCAAAATTTTTAATCTGTTCCCGGTGTTCGAGAAACTGCCTAGGCACCTCCTTAGGACCAGAACAGTCCTGATCCCTAAGAAGTACGGTGCGGAGAGATCCGAAGACTAGAGACCCATAACGGTCCCGTCTATCTTGACCAGTCTTTCACAAGATTCTGGCAAGACGCTTGTCGGACAGGTTAAAACTCGACTAGCGGCAGAAGGCTTCCGTACCTAAAGACGGAGGAACTGAAAACGTTTTCCTACTCGACATGATACTCAGATACCATAGACAAAATTTTAAGACCATATACACGGCCTCTATGGACCTTGCGAAGGCCTTTGACTCGGTCTCGCATAGGACCTTACAAGAGACTCTATCATGAGGATGCCCAGCCCAATGAGTGAGTACGTAACGAACGTGTATAGGAGAAGCCACACGACCGTGGCTTATGGCACATGGGAGTCAGAGGAGCTGCGACCTGTCTGTGAAGTCAAACAGGAGGATCCCCTATCTCCCATCGTATTTAATATGGTGATAGACCGATTCCTACGGCAAATACCATCTGAGATTGGAGTTGACGTTGGAGGAGTTCATTTCAATGCGTTGGCTTTTGCCGACGACTTGATGTTCTTCGCCACAACACCTGTCGGCCTCGAAACTTCGATCGATGTAGCCGCTGACTTCTTGAAGCAGTATGGACTCACCCTTAACGCGAGCAAGTCCTTCATTGTTTCTATTCGAAATGTGCCGCACTTGAAAAAGTCTGTGGTGGATGGCAAGCAAGCATTCACGTGCATCTCCCGAAAATTACCAGCTCTCGGGAGAGAGGATGAATGGAGGTATCTTGGTATACCCTTTACGCCCAAAGAACGAACATCCGAACCGAGGTCCAGTTGGCGTCCCGGCCCTGGGACTCCTGTGGCGTATTCTTCCGCTGCCGGAGGAGGGTCACTGGTAACAAACAAGGCACGTCCTCGGACAACGAGATCGATATTTACATGGATTTGCCTCTGAGCGGGCCAATCAAGTGTGATGCATGTGCCCGCAACCAGAAGCGCTTCTTGCAGGAGGCGCAACGGGGGCAGCACATGAGGCTGACCCACCCAGAAAAAAGAATTTGGTGGAGATGTGCACAATGTGAGAAAAGATTTGAAAAGCTACACGGGTGCAGATGCCATCTCCCCAAATGCAAAGGGATTCCACAAACTACAAATGTGGGCGACCTCGTGTACCTCCTGTGCGAAAGCGCTTTTAGGACCAAAAGCGACCTGTCCCAACACGGGCGACACATGCACCCACACATTAGAAATATTAAGAGGGCTGAAAGAAACCCTCCAAAAACCAAGGACAGAACAACAGTTTGGAGTCAGGAGGAGACGAACCTCCTCACTGAATTAAACGAGAGGTTCAAAAACGAGAAATTCCCGAATATGAGTATAAGGAAATATTTTCCCAATAAATCATTAACACTATTCCTACCAGGACCGGTCAGGTCAAATGACCGTTTTTAAATTTTCAATTGGAATTTCCTACATTCAACGTAAGTGAATCGCCTTTAAACTTTACAATTTTTCCTCATATATATGTATGATACATTTTTCAATATTCACTTATTTTTTTATTGTTTATTTTTTGAGAAATATTTGTAGTCTGTCTTACCTACCACGACCGGTCATTTGACCGGTAGTACGATTTATACATTTTTGTAATAGTTTCTCTCTACGACTCAATGCTAAAACTATAAAGTCGTTACAAACGAAAGGTAATGTAGTTGTGGCACGATTTTATCCGAGAAGTGCCTTCCAGAAAATGGTTTACAGCACTTCCAAGTGTTTACGGTTCTCGCTCGACTATCGGGTTAGCGTTGTTTATTTGCTTGATTGATATCCGATACGGTCCAGATCCTCGAATGTTCTTACGCCATCTTATCTACTATGACGTAAAATAAATAAACTTATAACCGAAGGAAATGTATAGACGTCTTCTCACGAATTCAAATCAGTATAGTCTTGCGACACGAACAGAGTGCATCGAAACGTGAAAGTCACAAAGAGCATACTTGGCAGTCTTTTATTATTATTTTGTAATATTTTATATCGTATTACGTGTTATAAGCGCAATTTTCAAAATAGCGAACAAGACTAATAATACGTCGCAGTAAGTTTCACCTTTTATCTTTTATTCATTTTTTTGTCTATTTTGATTTACATTTTCATATTTTAGTTTTTATTTTCTCCGTTGAATATTTACCCCAAAATGTCAAGACGTTTGAGGAGTGCGAATGTATTATTAGAGAGAATAAATGATATCGATGCAGAATGTTCTGAAGATGATCAGGAAATTCTGGATATGGAAAATGACAATACGGAAAATTATGATCCATTTGAAACCGACTCGAACACCGATGAGAACGAAGAGAATATTTCGAACGTACGTAGACGACGAAAGAGAAGGAGATTTTTAGTTAGTTCCGATAGTGAGAATGAGGAAGAGGCAAGCGAAATTGCGATGGACGGAACTGTTTGGCAGGAAGTAAAAATAGGGTCTAGTCCTGGAAGAGCACCTGGTCATAATATTTTTAGGGAAACATCAGGCCCGACTGGGTACAGTAAACGTAATATTACGAAAGGCGAAGTTAGGACGGCATTTTCTGTGATAATCGATAAGAATATAATCGAACTTATAAGAAAGTGCACAGAGGTAGAGGCATTTAGAGTGTTGGGATATAAATGGGAACTGTCTACTGCAAAGTTATATGCACTTTTTGCAATTATGTATGTACGCGGCGCATACGAGGCTAAGAATATAGATATAGCACTTCTATGGAATAAAAAGTGGGGCCCGCCTTTTTTCTCAAATACTACGAGTAGACACGACTTTACGGAGATTATGAGATTTATTCGATTTGACGACAGAAATCAACGAAGCCAACAGTTACAAACCGATAAATTCGCTATGATTTCCGAAGTTTGGTACAAGTTTATTGACAACAGTCAAAATTGTTATAAACCAGGACCATATATTACTATTGACGAACAATTGTTTCCAACGAAAGCAAGGTGTAGATTCACTCGATACATGCCCAATAAACCGGACAAATTTGGTATAAAATTTTGGTTAGCATCCGATGTACGTAGCAAATATATAATAAACAGCTTTCGATATTTGGGAAAAGATGAAAGTAGAGAACCCTCGGTTCCTCTTGGAGAGTTTGTCACTATGAAATTAGCAGAACCGTATGTAGGATGTGGAAGAAATATAACCACAGACAACTTTTTTATAAGCCTACCTTTAGCAACAAAACTTTTAGCAAAAAAAACTACGATTGTTGGGACAATTAGAGCAAATAGAACAAAAGTTGTGGCAGTTGGGTCACGATGCTGATACGTTAACCGAACGGTTTATAATTAATTTGAATTCTGACAGTTCAAACACAGAATCAGAATAAACTGTAAATATGTAACAGATAGATCACTTAAATGTAGAAATATATTTTTCATACCTTAATTCGTACTTTCAGTTTCCTCCTTAAATACACTATTGTGCAATAATATTAATAATATTTAATCAATAATATCACATTAATGGAACGAGTAATATTTGCTTAGAAAATTTGTTCTTTCCATACCGTGTAAGGATCCGAATATTACGTTTTAGCCCTGTTCTGATAGCACGAGCAGCTGTTTATATTTCCCGCCAATTCTCGTTAAACCGAGTATAGTTTAGACAGCGGGTGAATGAACACAATGATAAGCAAATCCAACGAATGCCCCACTCGAAATTAAAATATCTGTCTATTTCAATACCTTTTGACACAGCGCGGTACCATGATTAGCGGAGGGACCACATCACCTAGTAACGATAAGCAAAAGCAGCCGACTGCTAAACTTTGAAGACCCACTAGCGCGAATGAGGTTAAGGAAACTTTCCTAAACCCGCACACCGATCCTCGGTCTGACAGAACAAGAGTGAGAGAGCTCCAGTCTGAGTCTTTGAACGTTATTGCAAGAATCGTGAATATATATATCTCGTACGTGGGAAAATACGCCTCTTGAGGTCAAGAACGACACCCATTCCCCCAAAAGACGCCATACCTGATCCTAGGGACTAAAGGTATATTTGGCTTTCCTCCGGTTTTCCAGGTTACGAATCCCCTCTCTGCGCTGGTTGACAAAGGATTCCCATCAGGGGTGTTGAATGACCGCCTTAACGCAGTGAGAGAAGGGTACTACCCCATCGTATCTCTACATTCCACAAGATAAATCCAGCTATTATTAGACTCACAGCTGCCGGGGAGCTGGGCCATTCTTCGTATGCGAACATATGCAAATGGTAGATATCTCTAGAACTCGAAGAGGACACTGCAGACACAGCGCGGAATCTACAGAATTCATTGGCATTATGTCTTGGATTATACGAATTATTGTTAGACTAGGTTCCCCTTAGGGAATAATGATAAATTGCAATCTACAATGTGATCTCAACAGTCCGTGAATGAACCTAGTGTACTTGTGTGTTTCATGGGCTACCCTCAACCAGGGGATTGCAAATTGCATCGGTCAACAAAGTGAATTCCTGGCTTAATGATAGTGATAAGATTTTTGGTACGCTAGCTTCCATGTCCCAACTGCCACGTCCACAGCAATCAGTCAGCTGTGTCAGCTATTTCGTCATGGAAAAACGGCAGTATTTTGTGTCATGAAAACTATATGTGTCATTATTGTTAGAATGAGTACGTGATTTGAAGGGAAACTAGAGTATTTGTATGTGTGTATATACAGTGCTGGACAAAAGCATTGGCAGAGCATGGTTGTGCGGCACAAGTGCCCACAGCTACCGAACAAACTGATTTAAGAGAAAAACACCCTGACACATTCAATCAATAAATTGGTTTATATGAACTAGTAAATTTAATGACTTATATTTCTAAAAGAATAAACTACAAGATACAAACATGTGGCTAAAAGGTCCTGAACTAAATCATACAATGGAGGAAAATCACAATGAAGCCACCATTACTAACGATAAAACGCCATTTTTACGAGAATTCAATGCCAACCACCCTAAAAAGACGCGGCCAAGTCGTAATATCAAGAATCATAATTGGATGTACGAAAATAACTCACAAATTCCTACTCATCAAAGAGGACCAATAACTTTACAAAAAGTGCAAGTCGATCCTAACAATGGACCAGCCCATACTGCAATGAGAAGGATACCCTACCGTTAAGAAATCATTTCAACATCAAACCCACTCTAAAAACCTAAAGGACAATAGAACAATATCAAGACTAGTACAATATCTAAAACACTCCATGTTATTTACTACGACCTATAAACAATGTCCCTCTATTGTCGCTGATAATCCAAGAATTTTAAAAAAGAAAAAAAGAAAATTTTGCAAATATTTTGGAAACTAAAACCGAATGGTGATTATATGTATGAGAAAAAGTTATATAAAATAGGGAATTCTATAACATATGTAAAAATCGTGGAAATCAGTAATGTCTATCTTTTTTTACACAATTACTTCGTTAGCTAACGTAGGGAAAAATAGTCTGATATTGTCTACGTATCTTTGTCTTTTTCCTTCCTTGTTCTTCGTATTCGGCTAGGTTCGTGTTTTGTTCTTTTTCTTTGTGCGTGACGCATGCCCACTAACCGTATGTAAGTCAGTCCGCTCAAGAAGCTACAAGCTCTTTCACTCATCGATAATTATATCGCAATAAATTCTCATATAACGCGATATACTAATACATCATATCCGACAATACTGAAAATTGATATCGGGATAGTTTTCTTTTTAGGGGTTACAATCTGATGTTCTTGTTAAATTATGTACACAGCCGGTATTTATAAAAAGAAAAATTAACCTAAAATTAGATCGATCAAGAATCGGTTCTGCGGTATTGTATCACAAGAATCATTGCCTATACGATCGTAATAAATAACATGCACAGAGTCGGTATTCATCGTATGTATATCGCAATACAATTATTACCATATGAAACTTTTAAAATATCTCTATAATTATACTTATATAACTATAAAATATATCTAAGCTCTTAAAATATCAATATGAGTTGCGATAGCATTTAATGTTGTTTCTTTTTTACTTAACTATATTTTATTCTCTTTAAATTTTGTTTTTTATTTTTAAGTTTGTTTATTATCATATATTTCATTTTGATTTTGAGTAACTCAAAATATTCAATAAAAATCTTAGTGCCAAATCTGTTGTGCTAAGAAAATAAAAGATTCTTCTAAATTATTATTACCTCTCCATTCAAATCCTAAACCAGCGATATCATAAAAAAACTATAATTTTCTGAACAATTAGTAATAGTATGATCACCTTATAGAAAATGGAATATCGCTTAATTTTTATTGCATCAAATTAGTATACAGTATTAAAAACTTGATAATATAATTTTACTTTATGTTTTCGTTTATATTGTGTTATTTTACATTAATAAACATTTATTTTTGTTTCTTTTGTGCATATATAACTCTGCAAATAATATTATCCAAGATATCACATAAACTTCAAAAGCAATTATCATCTCTTTAAATGATTGGTAGTAAAAAAATATAAAAGTTAAATATTTTTTTGGAACTACTTTTTATCAAAATTTCGTCAAAATCCTTGATAGAAATAAAGATATTTAATTTATAGAATTGATAATGATACTCTCTGCTGAATTCATTATCAAAATATATCTCATTAATTATATTCTTCAATTTCAAAAATGTAACTATAATTTCATAACCAATGTCATATGAAAAAGTACCAGAAAACTGGAATAACAGTGCACCTTTTTTTCAGTGCACATCTAAATTTCTAAGATTATTTTTCAGCATGAAGATAATTAATGCTAAAGAAGCTCAAATAACCCCAAAATATCAAAGTTTGATGCAAAGAGGAATTGTAGAATAACAACTTTAAGACAAAGATAAGGTTATAGCATAATATAAATAATATAAACACAATAAATAATATAAATAGTAAAAACTTGTAAAATACAAATTATAATTGTCATGAAAAGAACAAATAAAACAATAGCAAATTTATGCAAACTGTTACCAATCCTATATAGTTTTAACATTACATGGAAACAGCTATATTATAATACATAAGAATCTATGATTCTGCATGAACATTATAATTGCACCAGAATATTCTTGATTCAAATTTTTGTTAATTATTGAACCATTACATGACTCAAGCATAATATTTCCATTTAAATGACATTATTGGTCATAAATTGTCATTACTACCTACATTATTCAAAACAACAAGCCAAATAAACAAAAAATAGCAAAAGGTAATAAAACTAATACTTTTTAATTGATTTTATTAGCTTGAATAAGATTTAAAAAAGAAATTTGCATATTTGCAAATTGTAATGGTATATGCAATGAATATGTACTTTAAATTTTTTTATCTTTTAGTCTCCATATTAGTAACTCGTAATTTTAATTTCATTTTAAATTCTCTCTGATATTTAAGAATATTCAAAGTTAATAAAACACAGATAATTTTATATATTCTACTGTAAATATAATAAAACAAAAGACCATACTTATCTGTGCCAAGAGATTCTTCTAATACACTTTTCACATTGTTGCGTGCAATAAGACTATCAGCATATATTATAACATTTGGTGGTTTTACTTCTTCATGTGATAACTTCGCTGTTATTTCTGGCATGTAATTTCTGTAAGATAAAAATTTCAACAACTTTAAGAACTACTTAATGACATAAGCATCTTATGTTTAAGCATAAACAAAGTATAAACTAGAACCTATCATTTAATATATTTTTTGTTCCAAAGCTCAGAGCATGTAACCTCCTTACCATTTTAATGTTACTTTCAACGTTATCAACTCAAAAATATAAAACTATAACATTAATAGCGGTCAAAGTTAAAAGTAAATGTAACTATGAAATTTCAAATGCATAGCACAATATATTTGAAAATTATAAACATTGAATAAAATTGTATATTAGTATAATATATGTTTATCTTTGAACATTGTAATTATACAGGTAAATGTACAAATGATGAAATAATAATTTTGAAGTGGAAGTATGTAGCGTTAATACAGTTATAAAGATTAAGGTTTTTTAGTTATAAATATTCATGAAGGTATATGATTCAAATCTTCTTTTCGCTCAGCTCTCAATTTTAAGATATTTAAGGAACTCGAAAGTATCGAAACAAATTTTTCATTTCAAATTGTTTTTTTAAAATAAGCCTATTATTACCTAAAATTAGTTACCATTAAAAACTTATTATTGTCCTATATAATAATTAATATTAAATGCATAATTCCCTCTTAACTTGTATGAAAAGCAATATTCAAACACGCATTATGGAACGTAATATGATATGAATTTTTATAATATTTCTGAGTTATTTTACATGTCAATGATTGTCTTTAAGATAGTCAGTAAAGTAACTGCAAAAACAGATATATCACAATATAATCATTATTGCAAGGAATGAACATAGGACTATATTATTCATTATTGATCCTTTATACTCTCTTGGTGATACTGGAAAGATTAATAAAATTTTGTTGTTGTTTGGTTTTGTTTTCCAAAATGAAAAAGTACTACTGTAAATATTTTAGTATTTTTTTGTAAAAATTAGTGTTCAAACTAAACAATATTTATTATTGGAAAAACGTATGATTAAATCCTTTAATCTTTATTGCGCCGAACAACGATATATCCTATTAACACGCGGGAAGTAACGATGATATATCGTTGCATATGCGATTGCGCCTTACAATCGGCAATTTGGAAAAAAGTAAGAGGTAAGAGTGTTGGGTGAAACATACTGAAATGCATCAATCCCTAGTATAAGAAATCTTCCTGGACAAAGGAAGAAAGTTTATGTGGTTTGTAGCGGAAAGAATGATGGGCCTATGCGAAGATCACGCACAATTTGTAATCTGTGCAAAAGGAATTACACGGTGTATGCATTGGTAACTATTAATACTGAATAAATTATTTGTGTAGGGTATAATAAGTAAATATTACTCCGAATAAAATTTAAATAGCCGAGGAACTATAAATGTTTATAATAATATATGAATTATATTTCAGTGATATACTAGTTTTACAATCACTTGTTTGGTACCAGGTAATCCTTTTGACTCTTACTACGCATCACGGGGTTTAGATATTAGAAATTTTATAACAAATAATTGAATATGCAGTATTTATGCTTTATACTACGTCTTCTACATCAAACTATGACAAAACGATTCTTCTTATTTATAAATACTGTTTTTAAAGAAAACCGATTTTTCCATTTTTTTCTAATGATTTTGAATAAGTATTATTAGTACGCTTCTCAGCAAATATTAAAATACAATTCACATTTATTTATTCTCTCTTTATTTCGTAATATAATCCTTTTTGAATTTCGTAAATATCATTCTTACTTTTTTTAAATGATTTTTTTTCAAACCTTACCAGATTACATCAAATTAGTTCGGCATTCTTTGGTTAGGTACACTTCTTTCGGTTGATACTAAAATTATAAATGAATTGCACAGACAAAAGAAAACGAAAACTTTCGAGCGAAATTACGATACACGACCTCGCACGCCGATTTGCAAAAAAGAAAGGAACATATGACAAGCCCGCGCGCGAGAAACACGCATACCAACTCATTTATCACACTAATGCTGCCAACCCATTAAATTAAAAAATGTAGTTGTCTTTTTAACTGGTAGAAAACTATCAATTAGACCAGTTATAAATTTAGAAAATTCTATTAGAAAGAAAAAACACAGAATCGTTATAAAATTACAATATCCAAATGCAATCATAAATAAAAATATATAAATTTATTTCCATATTATGCATTATTCAATATCATTTAACTTTGGTTTATGGAATGTTTATTTGTGTCTATCCATTTTAAAGATATAGCTTATATCAGTAACGTGAGGCAATTTTATAATAGAGGCTTGAAATGAGCTAGTTTCAAATATTAATGCAGGATATCAAGTAATGAGGAAAAATTACTTCAGCTGGGAAATATTCATTCTGCTAGATTGCTAAGTTTCACTAATTTCAGCATGTCCTCTCTGCATAAATAAATTTTTTGTTTTTCCATAAGAATTTACACTTTATAAGTAATTATATTTTAATGCAAAGAACAATTTGGGCTACTTAAAAATTATAAATAAATTTATATTTTGCATTTTTT